ATTAAACGTGTTTCTAGTCACGATTAAATTTTCTCTTAATTTATATTAAACTTTGAGGGGACCATAATTAAAATAGTATACATGCAGCTAACAGCCTAGCACTATATATATATATATCATACAAAATAACATAATAAATTAGAATAAAATATTAAACGTTGACGACATGTATTCATGTCGAAATTACTAATTTATTATTTGCAGCTATTATACGAGACTGTAGGTTTACCCAGTGCGTCTATATGATTGAGTCGTTGACTACGGCTTTCTTTACTATCAAAAAAAAATAAAAAAAAATCTAGTTTATCGGGGCAATGGATTTGGACTTTCGCTTACTAATTAATAGTTAGCCCTCGTACTTATTAATAGTTTAGGGCTTGAAAATGGAACGTGATTTTTTAATCCAGTCGATTCCATCTAAAATTATCCAATTTTTTTGATTATATTTTTCATTTTGAATTTTTAGGTTTTTTATTTTACAATTATTTAATATGAAATTGGAACATAATTAATAAATAGGAATTCGATTTCTAAACGATTATATTTTTCGAAAATTCCGATTTTCCCCAAAAACTATATTGACTAAATTAAGAATTCTATACAAGTAATAGCTAGTTACATCTCTATTGTTCATCAATATTAGAGGAAAGATTTAGAGTCCCACAATTCACACACGTGTCACAAACTCACAAGTCACAAATATGTAAGCTTTCCAGCTCAGCAATTTGACGTGGCAGTGGATTTCCAACGTGGCCAAATACAGAGGAGACACGTGTTAGAGGCTTAGGCCTTTCCCACAACATAACACACCAAACACGTGCAAGCCCTATGCAAAATTAAGCCTTGAAGAATTTCAGCTTTTTACAAAGCTTATAAATATATTTGAGTACTTCACATATTTTTCATTCATCAAAATTCGAAACCATCAAATTGTTCGCACTACTCTTAATCCCCCGTTAAGCTCTTGTTTCGCATATTAAAAAATACGAAAAAAAATGTTTATCGTTTCCAATACCGATGGTTCGTTGCAGAAGAAGGTTCTAGATGGTGAAAATTTTCCTGTTGAAGGGTATAATTGTCATGCGGCTTCAGTTATAATCGAAGGCGATGGAGATGACGACGATGGAGGTTATGATTATGCTCCAGCTGCTTGAAAAAAATAAATTATTTATTATTTTTTTTTATAATAGGGTGGCCTCAATTTTGTAATTTAGGTCTTTAAAAGTTTATTATGAAGTTCTTTTTTTGATGAGCTAGCCGAATATTCGGTTTATGATGGTTTTAAGATGTGATATGGTGTGTGGGTTTAATATATACCACATGCTATGTATGTATCTAAGGGAACTAACTCATTATATGAATTTATGACTTCATTTTCTCTATTTTTAATTAATGTTTTTATTTGGTTCTTTATTTTCTTGTTCTATGCTTAATTTAACTCACCTTAGTAAAACTCGAATATTAGCAAATTATTATTCGTGAGCAAGAGAGTGACCCGAGTTCGAATCTCGATTCGCATAACTAATTCTAGTGATGGAGCATGGAAAAATAAATAAATAGAAATAATATTTTTTTCTAAAAAAAATTATCATAAGCATATATTTTACAGGAAAAAAAACAAAAAAATTCCTTAAGCTATTTAGGTATCAAATTGTTTGCAAATTATATTTTCTACCAAATATCTTCACTAATTACAATAAAAAAAATAGATCAATTGAATAATTGAGGGAGATTTTCTTTTTATAAGAAAATGTGGTTATTTGAATAATTCGTAGTGATATTTATTTTTTTACATTTTGTACGCTGGAAATTTTGTTGGTGGTGGAAGACAATAATTTAATTTGTTGTTTTGCACTCTTGAAAAAAAAAAGATCAATAAAAAATAAAGTTTCTCTCATTGAGTTGAGTTTTAAATATCCAATTCACAATACATTGTAAATAATTTATTGTGCTTTGATGGTGCAAAATGCTATTATTTTTTAGGGCGCAAATTGATGCCAAATATCAAGGGTGCACCGTGTAATAAAGTCATTTTACAATATTCATGACTGTAATTAATCATGTGTTTGGTTTTTAGTTAGTTGCAATACGATATTACTATAAATATATGTAAGTTCGAGCTTATAGTTAAGAAATTCGATATAATTATTTAAGTTTGAACTAATTAAAAAATTAGTCTCGTATAGCATGATTGTCAGTCCTATATTATATATATGTGTGTTCGCGCGCGTGCGTAGTTTTGTGTACGGCGAGATGACGAAACTTGTACGGCATTCGAGTATAATACATGTATAGATTTAATTAGTAATATAATGTATCGTTTTGACTAAAACTGACAACATTAATTAATTAATTAAACATGTTTATGTTGTTGCATAATTCCATGATTGACTTGGTAGTTAATTAATCTACATGTTTAATTAATTACATTAAGGCTCTAATGACGATAAATTTTCTCTTAAACTATAATATAAAACTTTGAGGGGACCATAATTATTAAGATAATATCCCACACAATAAAACATATAATTAAATAAATTAAACGTTGATGACATACATTCCATGTCAACTAATTATTTATTAGGGCAGCAGATTTGGACTCTCGTTTACTAATATAGTAGAATATTGATAAATTAGTATTCAGTAAACTAATAACTCGTTTAAATAATATTTTTTTTCTGAAAAATATATATGTAGAATAATTTTCAATCCAATTATAATTTTCGGCAATTCCGATATTCCTCAAGAATTAAATTACAAGATAAGTATTAATTATTATGTATTTTTATTGATACATATGTGAATAAAATAGATTCTAAATTCCGTTGATTTTGGTATGATAGAAACCGATTCTAGAACAAGTTTTTTTACATTTCAATTTCTCTACTCCGATTTCCATTTTTTCCAAGTTGTATTGAAACATAACTATTGTAACTAAATCTCGATTTAATTTTTGTAATTGCTGACTCCGATTCTTTTTTTTTTGAAGAAAAGATGATGCATATTATTAGGCAATATGTGCCAAATAGGTAGGAAGTGTAACACCTTCCGTGCAAGAGTGACCATAATTTTTAGCTATCGCATGGGCCAAACAATTTCCCGAGCGTTTAATATATTCAAAACAACAAGATGAAAAGGAAGACGCAATTGCTGACTCCGATTCGATCCATCAAATTTATGCTCCTAGTAATATACAGCTCTAAAGGGTATAATCGTAATTTTACTTTTCTTTTCACGCATGAAAGGGAGGAAAACGTGGGAAAAAAAATAGTTATATGTAAAGTTTTTTCTTCCAACTCTGCAATCTGACGTGGCAGTGGATTTCCAACGCGGGCAAATAGAGAGGAGACACGTGTTAGCGGCTGAGGCCTTTCCCACAACATAGCACACCAAACACGTGCAAGCCGTACGCAAAATTAAGCCTTGCAGAATTTCAGCTTTTTACAAAGCTTATAAATATATTTGAGTACTTCACATATTTTTCATTCATCAAAATTCGAAACCAACAAATTGTTCGAAGTACTTTAAAGCAGTTAATTAATTTATCTTTTCATCAGCTTCTCATTATTTGAAAAAAAATATTAAAAAAAATGTATATTATTTTCAATAATGGCGACGGCTCGTTGGAGAAGAAGGTTCTAGATGGTGAATTTTTTCCAGTTGAAGGGTATAATTGTCCACCGGCTAAATTTATAATCGAAGGTGATGGAGACGACGACGATGGAGGTTACGATTACGCTCCAGCTGCTTGAAAAAAAATGTTTTTATTGATTATTAATTTTTCATATATAATATAATAGGGTGGCCTCAATTTTGTAATTTAGGTCTTTTAATTAAACTTTATTATAAAGTTTTATTAATGAGCTAAGATGTGATATGGTATAAGGGAACTAACTCACTATATGAATTTATGACTTCATTTTCTCTATATTTTAATTTAATTAATGCTTTTTTTTGTTCTTTATTTTCTCTATTTTCTTGTTCTATATTTAGTTTAACTCGCCTTAGTAAAAGTCGAATATTAGCATATTATTATTCGTGAGCAAGAGGGTGACCTGGATTCGAATTATCCGATTCGCATAACTAATTCTAGTGATGGAACACGAAAACCGAGAATAATAGAGATAATACTTTCTTTTTTAAAAAATAATGAGTTGCTTTATAGCAGAAAGCGAAAATACCAACGTGTTAACTTGATCAAAATTTTGATTATATAGTTCATTTATATAAGTTTAAAACATTATTTTCAAACCCAATAATATTATTGATCCATGTCGAAGCCCAACTTATAAGCTAACACTTAATTATGGGTCTTAGCCCATAAACACAAGCTTAAAATATCACTTAACTATCACCAATTTCCAATATTCTTTATTTTTATTTAAATCGAAATTTTAAAGATATTTGAGACAATTTACCAATATAAGTTGAAAAATATAGTTTATTTTGTAAACATGTAAATTAACTACTTAAAGTTAATTATTAATAACATTGCAAACATTTCAATGTTTTGAATAAATATTTAGTTCTAATCTTATTCTCAATTTACCAATTTCTATTTTTGAATTAAAAGAGAGGATAAATAAATAAAAAGGTAAATTACACCCACACCCTTGAGGTATGCTAAAATAACTTTAAGGTCCCTGTGGTATCGATAATTACAATCACCCTCTGAAACATTGTTAGAAACTCTAATGGGATAATGCATTTGGTACGTTATTCCGATAGTGTTCTAACGAACTATTAGTTTCAGGCAGTGGTGGAGATTACATAGTTAGGGGGTGAGGTGACTCCTAACATTTCTTAAATTCTTATCATTTTATATATGATTTATAAAATTCCGTCTATAATAGCATTAACGGCCCCGCGTGAAACAAATATAGTGCATATCGGTCCCTATGACATGAAATCTTGGCTCCGGTAATTGTTTCAGGGATGTGGCTGTACTAATACCACATGGACATTAAAGTTGTTTTAGAATACCTCAGGGGTGTAGATGTAATTTACAAAACATAAAAAAAGAAAAATAGAAATGGAAAAAACCCACCAAAACAGTGGTGACAATTTTGAAAGAAGGCGCAGCGAAGAAGAGAAGTGAAAACTGAAAGCTCAATCAATGGCGGAAGATAATCAGCCACAGGAAAGCGATTGCGCCTTCCAGTGGGACGAAGATTCTCAGCTTTACTACCATGCCAGGTTTTTTTTTTTTTTTTTTCTGAATTATTAATTTTTATTTTTTCTATTGCCAAATCTCCCGACTGTTTGAAGACGATCCCACTCGAAATCAACACTTTTATTTTCAAATTCCCTCAATTAAAATCGCAATCTCGGTGTGTATATTCGTAATTCGCATTTGCCCCAAATTAAAATTTTCAATTTTTTCGAGAAAAAAATAATAGGTTTTTTAATTTAATTTTTTCAATTTTGATGCAGCACTGGATTTTACCATGACCCACAAGCAGGATGGTACTACAGCAGCATCGATGGACTTTATTACAAATTTGAAGATGGGAATTATATTCCACTTGAATCCAATCAGGTATTATTTTTTTTTTGATTTAATTTTATTTGCATATATTTTAGGTAATATTTTATAATTTATTTCTGAAGATTGAATGTAAGAGCCTTAACACTGTGTTTATCTCAGGATCAAGTAGAAACATCGGATGCTCAAATCGAAGTAAAAGAAGTTCCCATCGATCCTTCCCTAGGTGAACTAGTACATCTCGTTTCGAACATTAAACGTCTAATTTATTTTGTATATTTTACTAAAGATGAACATTTCGAATGTACTTTCTTGTTAGTACTAATGATTTTTAAGCATCTGATTAAGTAATATTCATGTGTTAGCTTTACGTGTTTCTTGTTTTTGTTCTTCACCGGTGATACTTCGTTTTTGTGATTGTATCTAGACAGACTCCCCAACAAATGGTAGCATCGACCAATCAGATTTCCCCCCTCCACCATCAGAATGGTGAGCTTTGTCTCGAACCATTTACAAAAATTGTAGCCGATTTATTTATTTTTTCGCCTAAGTCACATTTTATATGCAGGCTAGAAGACACTCTTATCGATTTGTATTTATCGGGCTATTCCAATCGAACAAATTATGGTGACGATTCTGACATGACAATGGCTGCAGCATCTAACGGTGCAGATGAATTAAACGGTTAGTGAATTTTTTTGTCTTTGGAATATTTTTGATAAAACAGGTTCTTACAAAATTTTATTTCCTCAAATGTAAAGGAGATGAAGATATTGAAGAGCTTGAAGAAGGAGAGTGGGTCCCGGATGATCCCGATTTTTGGAGGAATTTTAGTGACAAGATTTTAGCTGAAGGTATGTAATACTCGACATTATTAAAGCAAGATCTATTCTCTTATTTAGTTATTTACTCATCCATATCGAGCTTCCGAAACTGTAACTTGAGCCATTTATCTATGTGTTGAGAATAAAATTAGGAATTTGCCCTAGATTAAGAATATAATTAGGGCCTCGTTTGGTTGAGAAGATTAGCCATGATTAACTAAATAATTAGACTTTGTTTGATGTTTGGCATACCCAATAACTTCTCGTGTCGACCCGGAAATATTATGTCATCTGGCTTATCTTGCCTTATAGGGATTTTTTTTATTGGACTTTCCATGGCCCAATAATACAATCGGGTTTCATTAGATTAGTTAATCTTATCTTGGCAACCAAACGAGAGTGGGTTCCTTCAATATTTTCTTTTTGGCTATTCTATAATAGTTTATTAGTTATTCTATCTGATTGAATCTTGGGGTTTTTTTTTTCTAATTTTTTTTATATATATTTTTTTCTCAGCTGTATTTCATGTTCATGAAATTTGAGTTCAAAGCATGTAGAAGCTCGTTATTTTTTACGTAGACGAGCCTAAATCCCGTAATTTGGAAAAGTAGGACAGCGGAAAAAAGGCTTCATTTTTATCACAAAATTATAGTTTGTAATGCATTGATAGTTGGAGCAATCATCTTCTGCTAGGTGTAACTGAGGAAGAAGAAAATTGGCGCGCACAATACGGTCAAGTAATACAACTAGATAAGGAGTCGATTTCAACGGATTTGCAAACGGTGGATTTGTGGGATTGGGGTTTAGTTAAAGGAACGAAAAAAGACGGCCAATCAGAGATTGCCAGGTTGGTTGGCAAACTGAGGAAGCCCTCTACTAAGCTTCACCCTTCAGTATCTTCAGGTGGTGGAATATTTAAAACGGCACCCATTTGTGAAGTGCATCTTGATATGGTACGAGTAAAATCAGGTTTGCACTTTAGTCCTTTTTCGATTTTTTTTTTCAGACAAGACGGAAAACTGTTGAACAACAACCTTTGTTAAAAGTTTAACAATGCTTTTGTTGTTTCGTTTAACTCCCTCCTAATTCATTTAAAGAGTTAATTACATTCAACACCCCTGTGTTATACAAATTGCTAAAAAAAGCTCCCGGTTTAAATATTAGCAAAAACCCCTCTATGGTCCAGATTAATTTTTTAGCACACAAGCACCCCTAAATGATGCATTTTTAGGAGTAGTTTGCTAATATTTATAAGTTTTTTTTTTAACAATTAGAGTAAACACAGGGGTGCTGAATGCAATCAACCCTTCATTTAATTATATACTCAAAGATTGACCGTATTTTTTTTTTTTTTTTCCTTTTCATAGGCAGGATATACAGATTAAAAAATCCTAGCAGGCAATATTTGGCATCTTTGTCGGTTTACGATGCTTACAACCCAACTAAAGATTGGGGTTTTCCACAGTTATCCATAAAAGATTCAGACAAGTTGCCACAATTAGATGAACATCTGTCTGAATCCCAAATCTCGGAAGTTCTTCCCGTTCGGAACGAGAAATCTTTGCAGCCAATGAAGATTTGCACATCTAAAAAGGTTACTAAGTAAAATGTTTGCTGCTTTTGAAATGAGTCCTTATATTCTATTTTATGTCCTAAAAAAACTCTTTTTTTTTTTAGGATCATAATGTGTACCGTGATAGAGCTGCTGAGAGAAGAGCTTTGCACGGTGGATTTGGCGTGGGCCCAGGTCAAAAGAACTCACTTGAGGGTCCCGATTATGCCACGTCATCTCCGACTTTACAACCCGAAGAGGCAGCAGCTGAGTCCTTGAATATTACCTTCGGTGAAGGTAGTTATGCCAGAAAAATTCTCCAAGGCATGGGCTGGAAGGAGGTAAATACTTGTCAAGAAAAAAAAATGTTTTTACGAACACTATCGTATCTCGTTTCTACTCTTGAATAAAATCACAATAATCTCACTACTCGCAAGTATCTTGATTCGTAAGTAATTGTTGTATGCAGGGGGAGACACTCGGGCTTAGCATGAAGGGATTGAGTGAACCTATACAAGCAAATGGAAACAAAGGAACTGCTGGTTTAGGTTGGGATAATGGCTGGAGAAAGTAATATAATCCGTCGGACAAATCGAATTTTACTTAGCGAATCGAATAGCACGGAAAAATAATATATATATATATATACATATAGAAGTGAAGTTACTACTTTTTGGTTGATTGACATTTATTTTTAGAGTTTTTCGAGTATAGGCGAACCTCGTTAATTTGATATTCGACTGATTAATAACCTTGTTCATATAATTAACTCTTGTGACTATTAGAAGAAGATGCTACAAATGAAGAAGTAAAGTTCTCTCACAACAAAAAAGAATGTTCTAAAAAAAACGTGCTCTAATTAGTAATTATTACAAAATTAGTCAAGTTGACTTTCAATTTCAGTTTTCACTTTAATTGGAGTGACTTCATCAACAATCGCATCACCACCTTCAACACTATCAGTAGCAGCAACAGCTAACACAGTCTGCTCCTCCTCTACAAGGCTATTATTCTTTTCCATGTCGTGCTTCAGTCTCTGTATCTCGTTTTCTTTTTCTTCTAATTTCTCTTGCATGATTACCGCCTACAACCATTGAGATCGAAATACTTAAGATCAAGAAAGCATTTTGTATAAATTAAACAAGCAAGAACCCGACATTTAATTCACATTCAATATATATATATATATATATATATATATATTATAAACGTTATATAAATTGGATTACAGAATCATAACGGGGAAGTACCAACTCATTCGATCTATCAACATCACCAGCGAGTTTATCCATTTGCTTGAATAATCCTGCAGAAAACAATAAATGAGAAGATGATGTCATAAATCAAAAGAAAGACCGCTAAAAACCTGCCCGTTTCGTGATATTCAGGTACAATAAAAATTTACCAAAAATCAACGTAATATGCTAGCAACCATATTTCAATCCTAGTCCACAATCGTAACCGATAGAGCAGCAGTACGAAAACGATGAAAATGGGTGCATGAAAACTAACCTTCAAATTGACTTCTTAGTTCGGCATTTTGAGATTTTTGTAAAGCAAGTTTCATTCCGAGCTCATGTATCTGCCAGAAACAACATAAGTAAAATGAACTAAATTTCATCAAAATACCAAAGATTTTAAACCATTACAGAGAGGCAGTGTGTAAAAGAAAGTCGTGTGGTAAATGCATAGCAATATAAGCATGCAAGAGTAGAAGATCTAGAAATCGACTCTTATCTACAAAAATAAGGATATTCAAGTTTCTGCAATTCTTCTAACTGAGTGTATGTGTATGTATAGCTGTGCACACGCACTATTAACTTCCAATTGAAAATTAATAAAAATTGGTTTAACATCATCATCGCACAAAGGGTCAAATACCTTTCCTTCATTAGCTTGATTACCGATCTCCTCATTCTCTTCCTGCAGAGTTCTGCATTTTGCCATTATCATCTTTCCCATTTTACTTTGTGAGGTAAAACTAACAGCATTTATGTTATCTTGCAACTCTTTAACTTTCTTATCCTTCTCTTCCACCAAATTCTGACAAAAGAATAGTTCAGAGCAAGAACCAGGTTGTCGAAAAATAATAAAATATGTTTATCTGTACGTGTCTACATGCACATAAGTATAACGCAAAAGAAGCACCTTCAATCTTGTGAACTCTTCATGGATAGCTGGATCCAGCAGTAACCTCCTTGCCTGTCAGGTTATCAGTTTAAAAACAAATGAAAAGTAGAATAACATAAACAAGATGACGCGACGCGACACCGGTCATATTGAAAGAAAAAAATGTTTTTCCATGACAAATTTTCTGACTCAAGCTCAATACAAATTGGTTTTGTATTGAGCTAGAAACGACCTTTGTTCAAAATCTTCCAAGCATTTTAAAAAAACTGAGAGGCACATCTAGTGTTACCATACTTTACTTTGTCTGTGGGAGTGATGGACGAGTAGCAATATGTAGTGATATGAAAACAAACCGTATAGGAAGACAACAATGCAGAGTATACCTGCATTGATGGAGGTTTCAGCTGAGCTCTCAAATCTCGAACAGCAGACTGTATTAAAGTTAGAAGAAGAAAGAGTAAGAAAAGGGATAAGGGATAAAGCCCCTTCTATAAAAGACCCTCGAGTAAGATATTTCTTTAGCAACTAACAATTTCGAGTTAATAATGCATGTACAACTAATAATTTCTCACCTTCAACTCAGCTATCTCCTGCTCCCGTTTTGCAAATGTAACGATGAATGCAGCTTCTTTTTTCTTTGCTTTCTCAAGCTAATAACAAAGAATAAAACTGAATATATCATCTCAGTAAAAACGTGGAAATCTAAAAGGACTTCGGTATTCAAACATACTTGCTCTCGCAGAGACTCCTCAGAGGACCTCAGAGTCTGAAGGTAGCTGACCACAAATCTTGGTTCTGCCACAGAAATTGAAAAACTGTTTGGCTTAAAATAAACAATAATACGCTAACAATTGATTAAAACATCAATTCTGTAGACCAAATTACAGGAGGAAAAATGGCATAAGGCACACTAGAACCAAACCAGGAGTTGCGCTTTGGGGGTACAAAGGATTCATTCTGAAAAGATGAGCGCCACTTCTGAATCTCAGATTTAGCATCTTCGAGTTTTGTCTGAATATGTACAACCAGTATTGTATTACCACATTATACATAAATCCTATAATTGCAAACTTAAACCATATTGACTAAGAGATGGAGAACTGAAGAAACAGAAAGATAAGAAAGAAAAACAACAGTAAGATTCGGAAGTGATAAGTACCTGGCAATTTGAGAGCTCGTCTTGGCAATTCTTGAGACTACAAAAGAAAAGCAGAGAAACATGCCAGCAAAACTTATATTAAAATTACTTAGAAGTTGGTAGGTTTATATTCTAAAACTACTTATTATTATTAAACCCATCACCGCTAGTTTATTGCGTTTGTATTATTTCGAATAAAAAGAGAAAATCGGCATAAGGATTAATACCTCTCACGAAGAGATAAAATCATCCCAGTTGCCAATCCAGGCGCAGTTTCCTCTACTTTCAGGTTAGCCTAAGTGCCAACAAACAAACAGTGAGTCAACTATAAATCTTATAGAACCATATGCTAGCAGGCGCAAGGTACATGATTTATTCAATAATGCCTCGTTCAGTTCTAAATAATTCAGTCTATCTGGTCAATAATGTAATAAAATTCTGCATTTTGTCAATCTTTTTCTATTCCTTTCAACACCAAACTCTCTAGAATTTAGTGAAACGTTCAGAAACCCTGGCAGCAGCACTAGGAAAATCCCCCTTCAGGAAAGATCCTTTTAAAGAGAAAACTTGTACTTTGTACTTTGAATACGTATACTTCTACATGTAAAAGATACTCTACCACATGTATGAAAAATTCAGATTCTGTTGGACCAATCATTTTGTTGCAGTCTGAACAGGAATTGGCCTCTTTATAACTATCAGTGTCAGCTATCTTACGACTTAACACTCTTTCTTTATTTTCTTTCTGATATCAGTACCATGCAACTTAGAACTATCACTTTTCTGCCTCAATATCCGAGACACGAGTAATTAGCTACAAAGAAACCCTCAAACATTTAACACACAAGAACATTAGTTTGTTCTAAATAGCAAATAAGAATGCAACGATTTCTCAATAGAAAAAGTGAGAGAATGTTTGTAGCATTGTATGTTTTCAGCCGACAAATTCAAACCAACCCGAGACTCACAGGATAAAGCCCGAACGAGATAGCTAAAAAATGAAAAAAAACAAAACAAAATAATCCAATACATCAAACATAAAGAGCAGCAGTAAAACAAATTCACGTCTAAAAATAGTTAACAGAAGCAAAAAAAAAAAACCTTTTTTGACCCAAAAATATCATCGTCCTCATCGTCAATAACTCCAAAGTTTCTCTTAACACCTAACAAACAAACCCGCATTCTCAATCAGCAATGGCGCTGGTTACTGATATTATCGAATTTAAATTGGATTAATTAGTTTTTAATTACCTTGACGCCCTGCGGTATTTCCCCGGGCAAAATCGCCTCCGAAATCATCTTCCTGCAATTATTGCCCCGAAATATAATTAAACTGGAAAAAAAAAAAAAAAAAAGACGATGAACAAAAAATTACACAGCACGAAGGGATTCTTACGTCATCGAGATGGTCGTTCGACGCCATTGGAATTTGAATTCTGAATTTGGGGGTATGAATGAAAATTGAAAACCCTAGCTTGGTGAAATTAGATCGAAAATTGTGGGAGTAGCGTCGTACGGGAACAAAGCCGAGTCGGATTTGTAATCCCCTACGGATAGCACTGGAGATTTATCTTGCAACCTACACGTGGCGGCAATCCAGGAATAGAAATCTGCGTGTCGATGTGAAGACTGAAGACATTGTGTGTGAAATGTTTTTTTTTTCTTTCTCGGTAAATTACATACGAACCCTTTTTAAATATTTAAATATTACACTTACCTCCCTTAGAATTTAGTTCCGTCCCACCCTCAACTCCTTATGAACTATGGTCATCATTTGTAACAAAACCCTTTTTCTACTCTAGATCAAGTTAATTAATAACAACACTTAAAATAATAATTTATTTTGGTCCCCAATTGGTAAAAATATATTAAATTATTAACTTAATAATTTAATATTTCGCTAGATTAATAGAATTTTGTTTGTACTGACTGTATTTATCTGTAGAGGTACGAGTTTAAATTTAATTATAGGGTAAATTCCACTTTCCCCCTTGTACTTTTGTTCGATATCACTTTACCCCTTATACTTCCGATTGCATCGATTTCCCCCCTGCACTTGAAAAATTGTATGTGGCCTCGCCGTTAGTTTTCAGACATTTGACCTTAACACCGTTAGGTCTAAACTCTAAAAATTACAAAAACACGACCCCTCCCAGTTTAAATAATTATTAAAAAATAAAAAAAGATTCAAGATAAAAAAAAAGTATAGTCCACGATGGCAGCCATAGTTTTTTTTTACTTTTTTTTTTTTTAATTTTTTCAATAATTATTTAAACTGGGAGGGGTGGTTTTTTTGTAATTTTCAGACTTAGATCAAACGGTGTTAAAGTCAAATATCTAAAAACTAACGGTGAGAGCCACATTGAGATAGTTTTTCAAGTACAGGAGGGCAAATCGATGCAATCAAAAGTAGAAGGGGGTAAAGTGATACCGAACTAAAGTAAAGGGGGGAAAGTGGAATTTACCCTTAGTTATATATAAATCCGTTTATATTTAAAAATAAAACTCATGCTTCCCTTAATGTTTGATTCAAATATGAGAGAGCCTATGTGCAATTATATCTAACCTCGGGGAAGAAATACAATTTTATAAATTAGGGAAAATTAGAGAAAACCCCCCAATCTAGGAAATATAGTTAAGGAAACACCCCTCCCAAAAATAATTAGAGAAAACTGCCTTAGCTAATATTTCACCCATGTGATATTTTCATAATTCTAAAACTATCCTTAATTGTCTATTACACTCTTTCAAAACCCTAATCTTATTTTTAATTTTATTCCGCCGCTTCTCTTCTTCTCCGTGTTTCTCTCTTCTCTTCTTCTCTGTTTTTTTCTTTTTTTTTCTTTGTTTTCTCCGACAATCTTCTCCCCGTCGCTGACACCGGAAGATGGAGAAAGAAATAAGAGGAATCACTCGTCGTCGGTGTGTGGAAGAGAAACACACTTATTTCTCAACAGCATGTTCCACCCGTCAACGTGTGGAGGAAGAAGAAGAGGAACAAGTTGTTGAGAAAGAAGAAAATGCACTCGTCGTCGGAGGAGAATCAACGAAAATTGTTGATGAAAGTATTTGTTTTTACTTTTATTGTTTTTATAGTGTTGGTTTTGTCATGTGCTCAAAAACTGTTTATGGAGTGATCAACAATAGTTGACAAATACCTTTAAATTGTTTATGTTGTTGGGTTTTTTTTTTTTTTTTTTGTGGACATTGAAATGCTAATTTGTGTTTTTTTTGTATGAATTATTTATTTATTTATTTATTTTTATTCTTGTTAGGGATTGGATAAATAGTGTGTTGTAGCGGTGGTGTGGTAGGGCAAATTTAGAGTTTTTATTGGATCGGGCTGATGGGTCATGAGGATAGTGTGTAAGATAGAAGGACATAAATGGAAAAATGAGTGGCTAAAATTTGAAGTGGATTTTTATGAAATTGTGCAAAATAGTTTGGGTCTTTCGCTATTAAAGTAAGTATTGAGGGGATTATATCAAAGAGCCCCTATAAATTAATTTCCCTATGACTATGAGGGGTTGAATATCATATGAAACTAATCCTCAATGGAGATTTGTGCAATGTTTCAAATTTGAAGTCGTCTAGGTGTAATTAGATGTAACCTTGGGGTGTATTTATAATTTAAACATTTATTTCACCGGGTCGGGCTTAGTATAACCCATAATTTTTTGGGCTATTCTTACTAATTGGGCTTTGATGGGCTTTATAAACTAATTCTATAAATATAGCCCTCATGGCTCCAAAAGGAAAAATGAAGGATATATTCAGCTCAATTATTTATTTTATTTTATTGTATCGTCCCTCAAACTTTTTTATTCCAACACTGGTATTCTCAGGTCTCGTTTGATTGCGAAGATACGACTAACAAATGTACTATTATGCAATATTATAATATTTGAATTCTGTAATTATAATAAGGTGTTATACACAATTTCAAATTAATATGATGAATATTTTTCAATAATTATATATGGATAGTTCAAATAATTGAATTAATCACTCAACTTTTATTGAGAAACTTAAAGATGTTTTTCAAGTGTAAAAACTAAATACATTGTCAATGTTGATATAGCTCAAAGAAGGGGGGAAAAGTTAAGGGAAAAACTAGGTGGTTTTGTAATAAAAGTTTTCTATAGGGGCAGATTTCCTATTAAAAAAATTGACCTGATGCACATATTTGTCATTGAATTGTAAATATTTGAATTATACCCTTGTGGTTGATGGGGATAGGGTCCGTTAGTTCTTCTATCAAATTTAATCGCGCACGTAAAAATTTCAAGTAGGTCATCTGCAAAATGTAGTATTTTAACATTTGACAAGTGCAGTTAATTTTGACCTAAAACTAACGGACGCCACTACTCCTACCAATCACAAGGGAGTTATGTGCTGATATTACCAGCACTAAGCAGTCATCTGCAACAGTTTGTAACCATATGGGGCTTAAGTGCTGTATACCTAATCTTATATAACAAGCTAGTAACAATTATTAAAAAAAAAACACTAATAGTGAATAAATACATAACTACTATAGATAGAGACAATATTTTAAATTACATGATTAAATTTGAGAGACTCTCTATCATTTAATTTGCCCATGTAGCAAAAGGGAAAAACAACAATTGACATTATGCAACAAAAATGTTGGGCAAGATGGTGGTATGTCCTATGTGTAGCATACATACCCTAGCTACAAATATTAATATTTCCTAGTATCTACTTTATGTGATTTCTTTCTTTCTTGGGGAAAGAGTAGATTAATATAAAACAAGAAGTTAAATTAATGTTTTATATTATATCGATTAATCGGTAACCCTGAAATAAAGTTAAATTACGAGAAAATTCGTCATGTTTGAGTAATTACAATCACCTCCTCAACTATGAATCTTCTTATACGTCCACGCTCATGGTGTCGAATTCAACAGAATGTTCTATATTCCATGGAATGTTATTCATTAAATCTTATTTGATAAGATTTAATGAATTAATTAGGGTTTCAATTTCTATATACTGTGAGCATTATTAGGGTTTACTCTTGTTCTAGTGATCCTATGTAGTATGTACCTTTAATTCATGGAAGGCAAGAAACTGTACGAGGCAATGATTGATGGAAAAGAATGTTTCATTTTTGTCGGAATTTCTTTATTTATTTATTCTTAAACAATTGGTTGGATTTGAATCAATTCAGGTTTAGGAAACTAATTAATAATACATATAAAGGGGGGTGCAAATAAATCAAAAAGTCATAAGCTACCTACTAATAATCAGGTCCCTCTATTTTACTAGATATTGTTAATTATTTTTTATGCTAATTTGTTACTTTAATTTGGTGTGATTTGATTATTTGATTTTATTTATTTATTTATCTTTGTCCTAAATTGCAGGATCTGAGTGAACATTTTCAATGAATACAAAATGCATGCACTCACTTTTTTCTGATTAGATTTGTAAATAATATAATAGGGCAAATTAAATAATACACCACCTCTTGGTGGAAATCGGAATGAAATATTTGGCCTTTGTGTATAAAGCTCAAATGATTCCTAGAATCGAGTATCAGTAGTCGTAGTGTAAGAATTTCAATTCCAGTAAAAATTGGTTTTGTTGTGGACATCAGGTTTAGATCCGCTACCAATCTTTTTCATTCGAAATTTTTTATCCGAGTGAATATTTTTCATTCGAAATTTTTTCATTCAAACGATTTTCGATATTTTTGAATATTTCTTTTTATCCGAGTGAATGTAGAAGATAAGGATTTGTTTTCCCTCCTTTTTGGCAACTTGATAAACACTGCTTACTTTGATATAATGATTAATTAATTAATTAAGTAGGTGATTATGATAGTGCTTATGACTAATTAAGTTTTGGGCATAATCTTATGTGGTTTGCATCTTAATTGATGTGATTTGTTGGAATTAGTGGGCTATAATTTAAACTTAAAAGTTAATCTATATTGTCAAGAAGTTAGTGGGAAATAAAGTTGATGGAGAAATGGTTGCTAGCTGCTCCCACTTTCACACACCGTAGATAAATTAATAAAAAGTTAAAAACACAAACAATATTAGAAAATTGAATAATGTACAGTAAAATCTCGATAAATTAATAACCTCGTTTAATTAATATATTTTTGTTCGGTTCCAATTTGAGGACAGCGTGTTAAGATGTCGAAGAAAAGTTTTTTTTTTTTTTTTTACTTCTTTAGATATTAGCTTAATTATAAAAGTTCTGCTAGTTTCTTGTTTGCTCCAATAATTAGAATTTTATATTATTAATGTTACCGACTCACGATAATAATTAAATTTTAAAATTTCGGTTCGATGCTTCAATGGTTATTTTTTTTATAAACAAAGTGCATTATTTTTTCGGGTGTCGAAGTTAAATAAATAAATATACATATTAAATGGTGCTTGAGGGACAAGTGTTACAAATGATACTTGAAGGGGTAAATGTTATATAATCTATATATTAGGGGTGCAAAGTGTATTTAAATTTTAACCTAAGGTGAAACTAGCAAATGAAAAATGTTTGTAAAATTAGTAACACATTGATGAAAGATGTGTAGCAAATGGGGAACTGATGGGTCCAATATGCATTACACATTGTTTTAATTAGCACTCAAATTCTCAATTTTCTTTTACCTTTTCACCCTAAAGTTTTACCAAAAATAAAAATAAATGAATTTGAATAAAATAAAAATAAATAATTATTGACAAGTTTTAATTGGTTCTTTTTTTTCTTGTACGCATGCAACAAAAGCACTTTTCCTTATAGAAGCTATTGTTTCCATCTACTTTACAGAATAATTATCTAGAAATTATTTTTGTTTTCTTAAAAAATAAAGCATATTTTGTTTGATTTAATTTCAATGTTTTTTCCATTGACCATAAGACTAATATTGTATATCTTTTTTTTTTATTTAAAAGGGGCAAATATAATTAATTGTGGGTTATCTAGATGTACACGTGTGAGAGGTGAATGCTAAACCACTTTCCTAAGCTTTTATCATTTCATTTTTTTTCAATTTTACAGACATTTTCATTAACCACAATTGAGTAAAAGTGGAAAAGAAAAAAAAGGTAAATAACACTTGACCCCTTGTGGTTATAAAGTTTTTAGATATGACCCTCGTAATATCAGTACATAACCCCTTGTAGTTGATAGAGATATCGTCTGTTAGTTTTTCTGTCAAACTGAACCGTGCAAAAATATAGTATTTCGATGTTCGACACCCGCAGTTAATTTTGATGGCATAACTAATAGAAGCTACCCTTGTCAACCACAAGCGGGTTATGTGCTTATATTACGAATACAAGAGAGTTGTTTGCAAAAGTTTGTAACCACAAGGGAGTCAAATCCTATTTACCCGAAAGAAAGAAAACAAAGCATTTTTTTCGTAAAATCGTGTAATTGATAATTGTGGACGATATTGCCCTCCCCCGGCCCTTCCTTAGTTTGGCTTCAAAGTAACTTAAAGTGCCCTTTTTTCACTATGTAGTAACTCATCATTTAAATTATATAGTAGATTTTTCGGATTTTATTTTTGATTATATCATTACTTATATTTAATTAATTATTATACTAATTAATTAAAATGGTTAAATAACAAATCAATCATGAAAATGGTCTTATAAATAAATATTTGGAGGGTATGTGTAAGAATTTCAACCAAAACATAGTACTAATACTACTAAAACTAATATATATATATATATATATATATATATATATATATATATATATATATATATATATATATGACAAAAAATCATCTGGAACAGTAAAATGTGCCCTAAGAAGACAAATAATCTCAACAGCCCACCAAAAAGGAGAAAGACAACTAATATGGGGGGACAATAGTAATTATTATAAGTAGAAAGAAAAGACCGCAAGAGTGGACTTTCACAATTACATGCTCAATTTAGTCAATGGACCACCTATTAAACTTTGGTGCTATCTACAATTTATTCAACTTAAGCATCATATATAATAGAGTAAATTACAATTAACCCCAGTGATAAAGTCTATTTACAAAGAAACGCCTCATTTTTCCATAATTACATCCACTCCTTGTAATTTAGAGATTTCTTACATTAACACCTTTTTGTAGGGGTTGGATGGATGTAAGAAATTTATAAACTGTAAGGGGTTGGATGTAATTTCTAAAAAAGAATGGGTTTTTTCGTAATTACACTTTACCTTAGGGAGGTGGTTGTAAATTATCATATATATATAATATATGGGATGAAAAAAAACCTACAACTAAATAAACAGTAATGTAATTATGTTTATTGTAATATTTGTACCCATTTTACCTTATTAGAACTCCACGCATTTTCATACAAGATGATCATAAAAATGTGTCTATTAGCTTGTAAATATCAGATTGTGGTGCATCAGAAAACTGTATTTTTGCATAAAACGAGTACAAACTAGAGAACATTACACGATATCTAGAAAATTTTGTTGAATCTGATCCCATAAGAGTGGACGTGTAAAAAGATTCATAGATGAGTGGGATGCTTGTAACTACCCAAACATGAGGGGTTTTTTCGTAATTTAACCTTATCTTAGCAGTCGGCCGTAGTTCCTATAAACAATAATGTAATTATGGTTATTGTATTTGTAATATTTTGTTCATTTTACACTAAATACTTCTAAAAAAAAGCATTTTTTTCTTTAACTTCTTTTAAAAAAACATATAATGTGTGTGTGTGAAATAAGACACATAATGTGTGTTTTTATGTCGGATGGAACGTATGTCACACGTTTGAATATATGTGCGTGCATGTTCAAACGTGTAAGAAAGAGAGACAAGACTTTGAAATAATTAAAAAAACATTTTAATTTATATTGTGACGTGGTAATAATAAAGAGTGAGTGCATGGGGGAAATTAAACCTAAAGAAAGTTAAACATATATATGTGTGTGTTATTATATATATATATATGTATATGTATATATATAATGTGGAATATATATAACAGCATAGTTGTAAGATACTTGTTGAAATATAGTAAGGTTTTGAGTTTGAGTTCAGCCATGAAGGAAACACTCAAATACTTGACAGGGATTGCCGGACCAAGTGGCTATGGCTCTAAAACCACCGCACACCAAATCTCTCTCGATTCTCTCTCTCCCTCCATCCCACCATCTCTCCTCACTGCAATTGTCACTGGTAATTCATCTCTCTCTCTCTCTCTCTCTCTCTCTCTCTCTCTCTCTCTCTCTCTCTCTCACACACACACACACACACGTACTTGAGGTGTAAATTAAAAGTTTTGTGTGTGTGTGTGTGTGTGTGTGTCAAAATCAAGAACTTGTCAATAATCTTGGAGTTCATGTTTCTTGATTTTGATTATTTCCAACAATTAATTCTGCATGAACAACATATATATATATATATATATATATATATATATATATATATACATACATATATAGTACTCAATTAATAAATAATAATTATTGGGATTGTATGTGTTAATTAGGTGCAACATCAGGAATAGGGGCAGAGACGGCAAGAGTGCTGGCAAAGAGAGGAGTGAGAGTGGTAATAGCAGCAAAGGATCTGGCAAAAGCAGAAAAAGTGAAGGAAAATATAAAAAAAGAAAATAAAAAAGCTGAGATAATAATATTGGAGATAGATTTGAGTTCATTTGCTTCAATCCACAGATTTTGTGATCACTTTTTATCTTTGGGGCTGCCTCTTCATATCCTCATGTATGTTTCTTTTATTTATTTTTTAATTTTTAATTTTTTTTTTTTTTTAATTTTGGATTTCTATATACTAATTAATTATGTTTTGTTTATTTTGATTTTGCTTTTGGTTGTTGTCTGATTTTGTTGTGTGAGTGGAACACCGAAAGGTGGTGTTAGTGTGTGAAAGTGATGGGGAAGATTTTATATCATATTGTGCAGAAATAATGCTGGCAAGTATTCACAGAAGCTGGAGTTTTCTGAGGACAAAATTGAGCTCACTTTTGCCACTAATTACTTAGGTACCTCTCTCTCTCTCTCTCTCTCTCTCTCTCTCTCTCTCTCTCTCTCTCTCTCTCTCTCTCTCTCTCTCTCTCTCTCTCTCTCTCAATCAAAATCAAGAGAGAGATAGACAACACTATAGGGTGGGTTGAAATCTGATGAATGGGGTCGGAATTAGCACTTTCTGAATCTCTATCTCTCTCCAATCAAGAGAGAGATAGACTAAACTAGGGGTGGGATGAAATATGATGAATCGAGTCGGAATTAGCACTTTCTGAATCTCTCTATCTATCTCCATTAAAGAGTGAGATGGATAACACTAGGGGCGGGTTGAAATGTGATGAATCGAGTCGAAATTAGCATTTTCTGAAGAAGCAGGAAAATAAAACCATTTTTTCGGAAGTGAAAAGCTACGAAGATGTATTCCAAAAAAAGAAACCGAAGTTTGAGTAATGAAAAAGCTTGTTTTCGAAAGAAAAAAATTCGGATTGGATTAGGCGGAAATGGGAAAATTTGTTTTTCTTATTCACCTATAATATAAAGTACATAATATTAATATTACAAGAGTATTTAATTTTGGGGAAAAATGAAATGTCTGAAAATTAAAATCGAAAAAAAAACTACACTCTCGTACATATCCAATTCTGATCCGCAAAAATAAAAATAAAAACTTTCAAAATTGTTCCAAGCTCGGAACTTTTCGAATCTGAATCGACATAATTCGAAAATTCCATTCCAATTTCCAACCCGACAAAACTGGTAAAAAAAAATCACTTTCCACCCTTGCATTTCATGATAAAAAAGTTGAAAGTTTTTGTGGGACTTCTTTTCCTTTTTCTGAAGAAGTGATAGTTATAATTATTATGCAATTTCAAGTGTGTGACAGAACAAATATGCAAAAAATGATTTAAAAAATTAAAAAAAATAAAAAAGGCCTGAATATCATGACAAGTGAAATGACTATTTTGCCCCTTTTGTTTTTTTTGTTAGGTCATTTTCTATTAACAGAAATGCTGATAGAGAAAATGGTGAAGACAGCATCAGAAACAGGCATACAAGGAAGAATAGTGAATGTCTCATCTGTCATTCATAATTGGGTTAATCCCAAAACCTTTTGCTTCACTAATTTGCTTACCCCTAAAAAGTAAGAAAATACAAACAAACCCCTTCATTTTCTTTTTCTTACATCATTTTCTAATTTATTTATTTTGAATTGAAAAAAAAAAAAACAGTTATAACGGTACTCAAGCTTATGCTCAATCGAAACTGGCAAACATATTGCATGCCAAGGAACTATCAAGACAGCTTAAGGTAAACAAATCGAACAAAGATAAATTACGGTCACCCCTGAGGTAATGTTAAATAACGAAAAACCCCCTCATGTTTGTGTAATTACAACCACCTCCCTCAATTATGAATCTTCTTACATGCGGTGTTAAATTTAGTGGAATTTTCTAGATCATGTGGAATGTTCTCCAGCTTGTACACGTTTTATCTTATTTGAGCTCCACATTTTGAAACAAGATGATCATAAAATATTCTCTTGGCATGTAAATATCAGATTGTGTTGCATCAGAAACTGCTTGTTTGGACAAAACGAGTACAAACTAGAGAACATTCCATAGAATCTAAAAGATTCATAGTTGAGGGTTGGTTGTAATTACCCAAACATGAGGGGTTTTCTCGTAATTTGACCTTACCTCAGGGAGATGGCCGTAATTTACCCTAAAACAAAATCTGATTTTCTCATTCTAATCATATAATGTTTTTTTTCTGGTGGGAATATAATCTTTCAGGCAAGAAAAGCAAATGTAACTATCAATGCTGTGCATCCAGGAATTGTCAAGACTGGTATTATCAGAGATTACAGAGGCTTTATTACAGGCATGCCCTTCATCTTTCTCCAAGCCACTTTTTTTTTTTTTTGTTTTTTAGCAAATAATCCAAGCAAAAATAACCATAAAACCCACTGTCTTATTGTATTTTTTTTTAATTAATTTTACAGATTCTCTGTATTTTGTGGCATCTAAATTGCTGAAGTCAACATCACAGGTTTGTCCATGCATTCTTTGTTTTCACCTTTCTGAAATAATATTCTGTTACTGTATGAAAAGTGTACTTTATTTAAAAACAGTCAAAAATAAAATAAAAAAATCTAAATTTTATAAAATATTCAGAAACAATTTTTATAACAAATACTTATAAAATTTATATATTATGTTATTAATTAATGTTATTTTTGCAATTATATCAACACAGGGTGCAGCTACAACATGTTACGTGGCGTTAAGCCCACAAATTGGTGGGGTGAGTGGCAAATATTTTGCAGACTGTAATGAAACTCATTGTTCAGCCATGGCTAATGACGTCACTCTTGCCTGGAAACTATTGAACCAAAGTCGTGCTTTGGTAAATAAGCGACTACTACCTCTCCCATTAGGCACTAAAACTTAGCTACTTCTAGCCATGTATATATATATATATATATATAATATAATAATAATAATATTAATACAGCACAAGTGTATTCAATGCACAGATTTATTGTTAGTCTATAGTTTTACACTTGGATGAATCAATTCAAAAATTCATAGTAAATAAAAATGTTGAAAAAAATAGAAAATATAGATATAGATATATCGACTAGAAACACGATTTTTTGAAGTTCGATAAAAATATTAAACAACATTGTACAATAGTATTATGTGTTCGACTCAATTTGATTGCACACTTGATTTTTAGCATCGTTCTTACATGCAACGAAGAGAAAGTTATTTGATCCCAGAAACTAAAAGCTTATAATGCTTACATCGGAAACTGATAATAGACTGAGCAGGCGATTAAACGATTTCAAGATCGTCTTCAACTCTTACCCTACAAATATTCAAAAATTTCGACTTGTAAAATTCAATATTACACTAATTTCCGAAAGAAAAATCCTAGTATTTCAAGAATTCATGTCCTAATTTATGTTCGTATTAGTCACCTTTAAGCGAGAGGAACGACGAAGAGAAGCAGATCCTGGAGAGCGAATTGTTTGTCCTCTGCCAACTTTTCTTGAACTGCTGTTCGATTCAGAAAATTTAAGTCCCTTTTCTTTGACTGGAGATTCATATCTGTGATCGGTTGAAACTGACACTACAGGGGCAGAAAGGGAAATCATCGAAGAGTCTTGATCGAGAGACGGGCCATGTGGCGAAATTCCTGAATAATCATTACATCTATTCTTAGAAAAAGAAAATATGATTTTTTTTCCATGTTTTTTTTCGAAAAATTACGAAAGACAAAAGGACTCACCGTGTGACGCAGCTTCTTGAAATTTCACTCTCATGGTTCTAACAAATTCGAATAGTCCATTGCTTTTGTTTAACTCATTAACCAGCTCTTTCGTGTCGTTCAGTTGTGGATCACACGTGAGCACTGAAGAGAAAGATCCAAGAAGAGAAATTGACAAGTGTTTTGCTCGATCAAAAAAAAAAAGAAAACGAATGAATATTGCTTACGAGTGTATATCTCATTCTCGTGACGAATGGTAAAGGAGTACTCCTCGTTTGGGTTCTTCGGATCAATGTTAGTGAATATGAATTTTACACCTTCAAAGAGAAATTAAGAATTTCAGTCACGGTGAAAACGATATGCGAGTGTTTTCAGCTAGTACGACAGAATCACTCACCATGACCACATTCAATACGGAAAGCGAGGACCCTGTTGTACCACGAAATAGCTTCCTCTATTTGTTCTGTGTGTTCGATTTTCTGATGACACTTTTCTCTGGCAACTGCCAAAGCTATTCTCGAAAAAAATAGATAGAAGGTAAGTAATTCGCTCAAAAGAAGGGTGTACGTTCTAAACTAGAACATCGATAACAGATACTTATACACGAGGAACAACAAGGAAAGATAATAAGTAGACAGATCAAAACCAAAACGAATAGTTTCCTGCTCGTACGCAATTGTCTAACAAAAAGGCTAACATTTTAACATAGTGGAAGAGACAGAGACATGGTCACTGAATTCAAAAGGCCGAGGAGATCGAGGCATTTTGTTTTCAGTTATCTTGCACATCCAATACTTCCGTTTTATTGTTCTTACATCCTAAGAAAAAAAAAATCGAGATGTCCTAACTTCTCTTCCAAAAGTCGTTCAAATGATTGAATTACTTAGCATCTACCCAGATATTTACTAAATATAACAGTTTACTGTACATATTTCAAACGGAACACAGGCAAAAATGCCATAGAAGTTCAGTTTCATTTACGAAACACAATCCAATTATTAAAATATTTTCTCGTCAAGTCCAACAAAACGACTTTATCTCACTCTTCGATAAGGCCCTTAGTAAAGTTAGTATCTCTTTGAAGGCTATATAGCTAACGAATTCTGAATTTGAAGAACATTGTTTTCACGTATCGAAATATATGCTCGAGCCTCGAATTTCAAGTACAAGTAAACAGTTGTATCCTGAAAATTAGAAAAATCGTTCACCTTCAGACTGTTGAGATATTATAGCAGCGTAGTTCTCTTTTCTTTCGCCCTGATCCTTCACGATTCCTTCTAATTCTTTAACCCTAGCTTGTGCAGCAGATATGGACTCCATTATCGCCATCTTCTTTGCCGCTTTTCGAGTTTTTTCTACAAATCCGAAAACAAAACATCATATTCAAAAATTACTGTAAATAAACGACAGTATAAATCGAAAAATTAATTGGCAAATTGCCCGAACAGAAGAGTGAGGAAAAATAGGGCAAAATTACCAGCACGAGCCTTCACCAGAGCTTCTTCAGCTGCCCTAAATTCCTCTTTCAGCTTTTCCAATTCCTCTGCCCAAAAGGTAGATCAACAAAAAATTAAGAAAAATCCGAGACCCATAAAATCAAAAAACCCTAAATTAAAAGTACATAAAAGGTAGATAGATACATAAAACCCTAAATTGCAGTTCGAACCAAAATTAGAGAGGAAATAAAAATTGTTTGCCGGAGAAGGGATTACCTTGGAGTTGCAAGGTTCGTTGGGCGTCGGATTTGGCGGAATCGAAAGAATTCCGGTAATAAGTATGCAGAGAGTCGATTCTCTGCTGCTGAATTGGGATTTCTCGTTCGCAAACTAGCCGCATCTCCGCCATTCGCGTTAGCACACTGTTCTCCTCCGAGCTCTGCATCTTTCTGTTTTGGAAAATCAGTGATGTGTACGAAAAGTGAATCAAATGTGTGTGTGTGTGAGAGAGAGAGAGAAGAGAGAAGAGAGAGATTAGCCCGCCATTTTTTTTTTCTTTTCTTTTTGAAACTGAATAAAAGCTGATTCCATAAGCAATCGAGGAAAGAAAAAGACTTAATTCCATTTTACATCCTTGAATTGTGCATTTGGCAATTTACACCCTTAAAAGAAAATAATATCATTTTACACCCTCAAAACACAATGAATTATCCAATGTACCGTGGATTGAATATTTAAAACTTAATGAGGCAAATTTCATTTTTCCTTGATTTTTATATTTCCACGTTAAAAATAGCAAATTAAATGGTTGTTTTCTTCTACCTTGAAGCTAATTTTGAGTGTGAAAAGTATGAAAAAATAAAATCACACCGAATTACTGAAAGAACTATATTTTTTTACCGAAAAAAAACTTTATTTCTCACTAAATTATTCGGTTGATGGATATATTATTGTGACTGGTGAAAATATAACTTTAAAATAAATTGATAACCAGATAGTTGAAGGTATGTTTCTTCTTTTTATTTATTTGTAAAATATATTTTTGTGATAAAAATATTAATTTTAAACATATTGATGAGAAGTATTCTTTTATTTTTAGAACTTTGTAGTTTCGAAATGATCGATGAATATTAAAATTTTGATTTGGCATTTGGCATCCTAAAAAATACACTAAAAATATTAAATTTTCTCCATTAGCTTTAAAAATTCATTCAGCGGGCATTATGCATGATTTATTGTTTTTCGACGTTGCAAAGTGTTATTAAATTTTTTTTTTTAGAGGATAAAATGTCAAAATGCTACATTTCGATGGTGCAATATGGAATTAAGCCAAAGAAAAATAATCAAATTTATTTCTTGGGCATCATGGCCCAACTTCCCACTTGGAACAAGCAGGCTAAACCCAATTATAGCGACTAAAATTATATAATTTAGGGTAAATTACAACCAACCCCTGAGGTATAGTTATATTACTAAAAAACCCCTTATATTTGGGTAATTATTATCCCTCAACTCTAAATATTCTTACACGTCCACCGTTGCGTTGTCAAATTTAGTGGAATCTTCTAGATTATATGGAATGTTCTCAATTCTGTACTCGTTTTATTCCATTCTAGCTCCACATTTTGAAGCAAGATGATCATAAGAACATTTCACGGAATCTAGAAGATTATGTTGAATTTAACACCATAAGGGTCCATGTGTAAAAATATTCATAATTAATGAGTAGTTGTAATTATTCAAATATAAAGAGATGTTTCGTAATTTGACAGACACCTCAAGAGTGATTTTTTTTTTTTGAGTAAACGGAGCGATTTTAACTTATGAAATGCTATTTGCGGTCACAAAATTGCTATTCGCGGTTTATAACAAAACCCCCCAAAACTTTTAAAAATATCCAAAAACCCCCCAAAACTGCAAATAGCAAAAAAAGAAAAATTCGAAATCAAGCTTGAAGAAGGGTTGGGCTTCGATTTTTTGATGTAATTTCGACTCTTTTATGTGTAATATGCATTGGGTAGGTCGATTACAGAACCATTTTCATGTTAAAAAGCCCTACTAATCGATTTGTAGGGCTTTTTTTCCCAAAAAAATGTTCGAACGCCCAAGATGGGCGCCCAAGGCAAAAAAAAAAAAAAAAAAAAAAAAAACTTGGGCGTGCAAGCTGCATTTGGGCGCCCGAGTTGGGCTTTTACGCGTTTTGGGGGTGGTGTTTGGATTTTTTTGGAAAATTTTGAGGTATTAGTGAAATAAAGTGTTTTTTTGCCCTTTTAACTTGCACTAAAATTTAAGAGAGAGAGAGAGAGAGAGAGTAGAGAGGAGAGAGAGAGAGGGGGAAGTGAAGAAGGTAATGGGACTGAAAATCGGAGGGGAAGTGGAGAAGGTGAACGGAAAAGAGCTTAATTACGCCGATTTTGTCGAAAATTACCTCTCTCGAAACCAGCCCGTAGTATTAACCGGGCTCACAGACGATTGGCGGGCCTGCAAAAACTGGGTTTCCGATGACGGAAAACCTAATCTCCGCTTCTTCTCCGCCCACTTTGGTGGCTCCAGAGTTCAGGTAACCCAACCACATTTTTACGGCGTCGTTTTGCCAGACTGGAATTGTTGATTGTACGGAAACTGGATAATCGCAGTGCCTATATTTTACAGGTTGCAGATTGTGCTACGAGGGAGTTTACGGATCAAAAGAGATTGGAGATGTCGGTTTCCGAATTCATCGACCGGTGGCTAACAGATTCCAGTTCTGATAACGGAGAATCTAATGAACAATCATTGCTATATTTGAAGGACTGGCATTTTTCTAAGGTTTGTGTTCTTCAAATTCGGCCCCCACCCCCTATTTTTTTTTTGTAAAATTCCTTTCTCGGTAAAATTTACTTCGAGTAGTAAACAATAAGCTGAAAAGACAATTTTACAGCACAAACTATGTTCTAACATACACTCGATTTCATAGTGAGAGCCATGATCATGTCCGTGAATCGTGAATCGTGAATTGTCATATGATTTTTAATTTAATTCATGCAAATTGGTCCAAATGATTGCTCTGTGGTAAATAATTTAAAGAAAAGATAGGGTTTGTGAAGGTTTATTTAATTTTTTTTATTTTTTTTTTGTGTGTGAAAACATTTATTGATGTCGTTGCCACTCATCTGTATGCTTGATAACGGGTAAAGTCTTATTATATTCTATGGGCATGAAATATTTGTAATATGTATAACCTGTGAATTTGTTCTTTGTTTTCTTAGTTATGGTAGATCAAATATCGTATCGTCGTGTAGCTTTGTTACATAAAAATTTAAGTATTATAGGAACCAGACAAAAAAAAAAAGGGAGAAGTATAAGCTTCGTCATTTCTTAGAAAAATCCTTGGAACATTTGCAGGAGTACCCAGATTACGTGGCCTACAACACGCCGATTTTTTTTCTTGACGATTGGCTTAATCTCTATCTCGATAAGTACCATATGCATAATGATCCCGAGAGTCATCAAGATCGAAACGAAATTAGTTGCTCGGATTATCGTTTTGTGTATATGGGAGCAAAAGGTTTGAGCATAAACTCAACAAACTTGTTTCGTTTTTTTCTAGATATGATAATTGACCGTATATTTTATCTTGGAGAAATAATACGAATTTCTCGTTCTTAGTGTAGGTACATGGACTCCTCTTCATGCTGATGTTTTCCGGTCATTTAGCTGGTCAGCCAATGTATATGGAAGGAAGAAATGGTATTTTCTGTCTCCAAGTCAACATCACCTAGTATACGACAGGTGCGGATAAAAAAATTGTCTTCGTTTTCTTGATCGGATGCTGTGTACTTAATTATTAATTCATTTATATAACACGGGGGAAAATATGGATTCAGGAACAAAACGAAGGAACTAGATCCCTTTAACTTGCTCTGTTACCTGAAAGGGAATAATTGTCGTATTTCGTATTTTTAGTTAATTCTTTGAGAAATATATAGAACTGTTATTTGTGAGTCGTTACGTTCAGTAAATAGATATCTCTGCACTTACAAGAATTATATCCGGCGTTCTGAAAACATATAACTTATGGGTTTTTTCAGATATATGAAGTCTTCTGTCTATGACATCTTCGGCGACGTTTGCAAATCAAAGTACCCTGGATTCGAGAAGGTATCTTGCAAACCGAGATTCCGTGCTTATCTTTGTGAAGGGTTGTTATTACTTTGACGAGAAGTTTTCTTACAGTTTACTACGTAAATGTCTTAGTTCAGGCGATCTGGTTGGAGTGCACTCAGGAACCCAATGAAATCATCTTTGTTCCCAGTGGATGGTATCATCAAGTTCATAATCTGGTATATATTAAAGCTTCGACTTCAATTTTTTTCTGTTTCCCATTACTGTTAGTTATTTAAACGATAAACTTGCATGGAACGAATGTATATTAGATTATTTTACTGGTTAATTTCTTACTTAGTGTGGATCTGTAGAATGGTGTTTAATCGTATAAGTGTCTGGTTATATATCAACATGCACCGGGCATCAAGATAAGGCAAAGTGATTACTGTTAGAGTTGCACTATTCACTGGCTTACGCTTTTAACGTACATCGTATTCCATATGTAATTTATTATAAGAAGAAGTATATTTAATTCATTAGGTTAGTATATCAGAATAAAATCAAGCTATGAGTAATAATAGTTGGTTCTACATAATGTTATGAAAGTCGATAATTGAGGATTCTATGGGAAATTAGGTTAAGACTTGACTGTCCTAATCTTATGACTTGACTTTTGTTGGATTTGAAATATTTGTTCGATAGTTATGATCATAAAGAATAACAAAGTAGTAAGTATTCGGGACTTTTTTTCTCCGGTCGTTTAAAAGATGCCAATGCCCAACAATTGGCTGTTATTTTTCAGGAGGATACAATATCAATAAATCACAACTGGTTCAATGCCTACAACATTTCTTGGGTGGTAAGAATATCATATTCAAATGCCATGCTGGCGAAAGTCCTCGTACAGTGCATAATTACGTCGATTCTAATGAAATCTAATCTAACCAGTGGGATTTGCTTTTGAGAGAATATCACGAAGCTGTGGGATATATTGAAGACATCAGAGACATATGTGATGATTTTGAGGGGCTCTGCCAGAAAAATCTTGCAGCTAACGCAGGTACACCCGTACACACATACTTTAGTTCTCGATAGATAATTCTTAGAACTAAAACTCGTTTTTTTGTTTTTTCAGAATCTTATTCTTGTTTATATTCGTTTCTTGGTAGGCATGGATTTCCGAGATTTCTTCACTTTCATGACTCGATTTGCCTTAGCAAACTTAGTCCTACTTCATCAACTAACAACAGACGCGAGAAACATGGACCGCAATTCATCTCAAATGGCTCGGCTTTTGTTTTTCAACCTTGAAAACATTCAACACGTTGCTTTGAAGATGAAATCCGAATCTGCATGGCAAAACCGTGGTATTACTACCATTAATATAACGGAAACCATTGAGGACCGGTCATTTGTGGAGTTCTGCAATGCCATGGGAACAACATATAGCACGATGTACAACGAAAGTCAACATAGTCAAACCCTTCAAAAACTCGAGCAACTAAATATTTTCGGTTCGCATCAGCATATTCGTATCCCTGACGACCTACTTGCATTTGTGGAATGTTCTTTGAAACTGGTCGGAAAATGAAGGTACACAATCCGATTGATACATTTTCTTGCAAAAGTCTTATAGTGAATTTAATTGATTTTGATCTTTCACTGCATCAAATTCATTTGTCATTATCTAAATGCTTAACGTTGACTATTTTATATTTTTTTATTATTTCAATGCCACCGTGTAATTTAATATAGAAAAAAGAAAATCAGAAATTTACATATATGATTTGATAAAGTGTAAATTCCACTTTCCCCCTTATACTTGGCATCGATATCACTTTACCCCCTTCTACTCTCAATTGCGTCGATTTGCCCCACTGTACTTGAAAAATTGTCTCAATGTGGCCCGCTGTTAGTTTACAGACCTTTGATATTAACACCGTTTGATCTAAGTTTTGAAATTACAAAAAAACCACCCCTCTCAATTTAAATAATTATAAAAATATAAATTGTGGTTGGCGTCGTGAACTATGTTTTCTCGTTGTCTTGAATTTTTATTTTTTTATTTTATTTTTTTAATAATTATTTAAATTGTGAGAGGTGACGTTTTTGTAATTTCAGAGCTTAGATTAAACGGTGTTAAGATCAAATGTTTGACAACTAACAACGAGGGCTACATTGAGACAATTTTCAAGTACATGGGGCCAAATCGATGCAATCGAAAGTAGATGGGTAAAGTGATACCGAACCAAAGTTTAAGGGGAGAAAGTGGAATTTACCCTTTATAAATGCTAGTGTAGAGATATGTTTTGCTGCAGAAATTAAACACAAATTTTAAATCATTATCCACAGGTATATATACCTTGTGGATGCGCTTTATATGAAAAAAAAAAAAATTTAAACATTATTTGAAGAAAACACAAAGGGAAGTAAGTTCTTCGCTTTTACGAAAAAATCACAAGTTGATTTATTTGTAGAATCGATAATGCTTGATATCTAACATAACTCTAGGAATACATAATAGTGTTCAATGATATTGAATACAAACAAAAACAAATTCAATTATGTAGTGAGAAAAATACAAACGAAAGCAAGGTATTGTATAAGATTTTCCAACACTCAAAGCTATCTGCTCTCAACGCTCTTTAGAAATGCGCAAGTAAATGAATCGAAAGTTCCTTGTCCTGCACGACAAATGAACACACTAGAAGAGATAATGTGCTAGTGATTGATTAATTAAGCATGTGCTAAAACAATTAACATTGAAAATAACTTCCCATTAACTAACAACAATTAACCCAATCATTTAAATAAATAAAATTGATTTAAAGAAAGTTCAAACAATAACTTATGTTTGACTTCAATAGTCAAATATCCAACAATTGAATAGCTCTCGAATAATACGGGGAGTTTTTTAACAATTCGAATGGTTATTTTAATTTATTTTCTTCTTTTGGTACAAAAACAATTCACTTGTTTTTATAGATTATTTCTAGAATTGGCTTTAAGAACCAGATTTTATATGTTGAGAATTTAAGTCTGGGGCTTTTTCATTTGCAGTTATTACAATCACCTGCATTTGTTTGACCATCTGGAAATTCACACTTTCCAAAATTGTCATTAAAAATAAAAATAAAAATAAAAATTAAATTAAATTAAATAAATAAGTGGTTGTTGGAGTGAGTAAATAGATTCTTGGTTTGCCTATCAAAAAAAAAATATATATATATATATATATATTGATTCTTGATTTCCTCTTATTACAGTAAGTAACACAACATGAGTCGTCTCAATAAGTAGCTGTCGTCCTATTCCTAATAATTAAACAGTCCTCGCAATTAGCATTGACTTAATCATGCAACTGCCAGCTTAAAATATTTTGCAAATTTACATAAAATTAATTTATAAATAAAATGTAGCATACCCAAATACTGTACGATTCAAGAAAAATATGACCAACGTACTCTTTGCTGACGTGGCAGTATCACGACCACTGATACAGCACAAACGTGTTATTTCTATGCTACACTCTGGTGGGTTTTTACCGTTGATCTATACACACCAATACGGGTGTGTGTGTTTTATATTTTTTTACTTTTATATTTTTTTCAAAATAGAGTACTAATATAATAAAGAATTGAATTAGATTAATCCAATATTTAATTTCATGGGGAAGTAAACTCTGGTAGAACTAAGCACTAGGCCAATCTAAATTGAGATTATTAATTATGACAGCACTAACTTCATTGTTTTGCATGTAGTAAAAGACAAATGCATGTTCCCAGTTTAATATCTCAACATTTTGTTTGTTGAATAAAATCCAATATTTTTTTTTTCTAATTAATTAATTAATTGTTTATTTATTTTTTTCTGCTTTTATTATGGGTTGACTGTTCCTTAAATGATATTATAATGATGAAGAAACCAACAAAAAATTAAAAAACTGGCAATATTGGTGGCCTAACTGAGATACACTTCAAATTGTTTGTATCTGTATTTGTCTTTGTCACATAGCTGGTTTTATTTTTTTATTTATTATTATTATTATTATTATTTTTATTATTTTTATTATTTTATTTTCCATTTAGCAAAACATTGTCTGAAATCTTGGTTTTGCGAGTGTGAAAATATATTATAATTCAGTGTGGGAATATTCAAAATCTTGATTTCTGCCATATTTAGTGTTTCCCACGTGCAAATACACGTTTCGTCGAGTTTCCACTGTTTCTTGATCTTATACATCATACTTTTCAAAATTTATGAAAAATAATAATAAAAACAAATAGAGTAGCAAAAATAATAATAATAATAAAAAAAAAAAAAAAAAAAAAAACTTGGTATATTATCAGTTTCTCTTAACTCAAAACACATTTACATGAAGTCTGGATTGGGGGAACAGGAAAACCTGTTAACAACTCACAAGAAAAATAATCTAGAAATTAAATTTAACTAATTAAAACCCTAGTGACGATAAACAAGATCGAAAGAATAAACCCGAAAAAAAAAAACCTGAATAAAAATCGATTAATTATGGACACCTAGAGTTTTTTCCGGGACCTCCGTAATAAAAATAATTACCCCAAGCATTATTTTTACCAGCTCTAATATCGTAGCAATTAGGGTGATCGGCCAAAAGATGCAGATTCGACATCGGTATTAAGCTATTATCCCAATCCACAACTTGCAAGTTTCTAAAATACGAAGCTTTCCCAAATCCTTCGTCGGCAAAATGCCCGCTCCCCATTTGCGTATTCGTGTGGTGCCCCGTCGATCTGGTGTTTACTATTTCGCCCCCGAATTGTATCATGCTCGCATGCCCTTGTAAATGGCTGAACAAGAACGACGGCCAATACCCCACTAGTAGGCCCGGCCCGAATTCTAACCACCAATGCCCGTGTTTCGGATCCTATAGTAATAAGAATAATAATAATCAAGAAAACATATTAATTCATCTATAATATATTAATACATTTACGTGGGTCCCGCTACATGTTTTGGTTCATACGCGAAGATTAAAATCCTGGCTCTGCCACTGTATCTGAACGAGGGCTAGATTTACACTTACAATAAGTTCGGTGGTGTAAACTAATTAAACTAATATTAAATGAGACATTAGGGAGATAAAAGTGGATTAGCCATGTGGAGCATCTTACAATTATTATTTGTTTATTTTCTTTATTTAATATAATATTGAAATGTTGGTAATAATTTAATTAAGATTTTTGCATCATTAATTTATGTCCTTGTTGACTAAAGAATTAGTACAACTAATGGAGATTAATAAAAAAAAATCTTAGTTTTTTTACCTATGCAAGAAACTTCGTTTCGGTTTCGTATACGAAAATAAGAAAACGTTATACGTAATATGCATATACATTATGTACCTTCCATATCATAATTCCGATATCAAATTGCCGGTTGGTGTAGGAAGACCTCGGAGAAATCGCAGCTCCGATAGCAATCTTATTATTAATTTGGACAAAACCCGAGCACAATAAATTGTAGCATCCCGTCGCTTGATAAGCATCCGTCTGTTTTTTCATAACCAAAACCAAAAACCAATTAGTATAATTAGTACATTTTCGATTTTTCTTACATATACAACAAAAAAAAAACGTTGTCACGTTTATTACTAACCGTCCAATACGTGAAGAACCTAGGATAGTTGTCCCCGTATAACTCCGGGCTCACCTGAATTGTATACAACACAAGCAAGACCGAACTCATTATTGAATTTATATTTTTGTTTTCGACGTTTTAACTTATTTAAAAAAAAAATTAATAATTCATTGCACCGTCAGTCGGGGTAGATATTAGTCATAAATATCGAATATGTATCTATCTATGTATCTATATATATGTACCTGCCAACCAGCTTCAATGGTGTTGAGATCATTACCAAAAGAGCCAGAAATAACCCATAGTTGAGAAAGACTGAATTCATATTGATCTGTTACAATTGGTGCCCACACATTTATACTTGCCTTTGCTCCATAATATTCGTCTCCATTCACAAATGCTACTGCATGCTGCCAAATTTATCGAAATAATAATTTAATTTCGATTTTTTTCCGATAATTATAAAAAAACATATATAGTACTACTAATTAAGTTAATTAACTAAATTACCTCATGATCACTGCTCATTGTGTCCCTTCGCACGCCGCGTTTGATTTTCTTTCCGAATCGACGGACGGAGTTCGCCCTCAACACGTCTTTTTCGGTTGTTCGTTTTATCGGAACCGTTCCTTCGGGGCACGATTCGCCGCCGTCTCTCCACGACTGCGAGGTTTCCGGAATCTCCGATGAGTCTTGTCCCTTTGGCCTTTCTGGTGGCTCCTGCATTTTTCATTATCACCATCATTTCTTTTTTTTATTACATCAAATTAAATCAAGAACTTTAATTTAAAAAAAAAAAAAAAATTACCAATGGCTTCTGCCCTTTTAGTAGAGGATGATCAAAAGCTGGTTGAAGATGGGATTCAATACAATCTATAATATCTCCATCAGGGCTCTGCAATATTTTTTTTCAACCACCATAAAAATTAAATTAAATTAAAATTAAACATATATTCAAGAACATCATAAAAAAAAAAAAAAAAAAAAAAAAAAACCTGAATTGTCTTGACAGAAGGTTTATTGATTTTCCTGAGGTAACTTCTGATTCTCTTCAACTTTTTCAATTCTTGGAGTGGCCGGAAAGTTTGGTTGGCCGGCGGCGGAGCGGCGGCGCCAACGAATCCGCCGCCGCCGCCGCCGGAGAGATTTGGTTCAGAAAAGACAGGAGAGGTTGAAGTAGAAAGAATCAAGAAGAAAGAAAGAAAGATGAAAATAATGATTGGGGATTGTTTGTAAGAGTGAGAAGATTTGTAAGAAGAAGCCATTTGTGCAGAGTGTAATTTGTCTGTGTTGTTTAGTATTTTGTTGTTGAGCTAATAAGGTTGTTGTGTTTGTACGCATTTGGAGTACATTTTCTTTTTCATTCCAAATTTTTGTCCATGGAAACAACCTCAACAAACTGTATCTATCACCCCAAATACATACAAACTAAATTTAAATTAATATAATAAAAAGATTAAAACTTTTTTTAGCACAACCATTCAAAGGAAAAGTTAAGCACTCACCACTTTCTATACCATTTGACAGATAGATACTAAATAGATACTCCTTTCTTATTTCTCTCTCTCACACACACACACACACACTAGAGAGAGAGAGAGAGAGTGAAGAGTGAGATTCTTGTTGGTTTCTTGGTATTGTGAACTGACAAAGGAGGAAGTTTTATGGGGTGAGCTTATTAAAATAGACTTGTCTTTGTAGCTATTAGTGGTCAAAAGTGTTTTTTATTTTTATTTTTTTATTTTTATATTATATATATAATTGGGGGTTTTTAAGGACATTTTATTTAAAGGTGCCCTTTGCTTTAAGTTTTATGGCTTTTCAAAAAAAAAAAAAATTAAAATTTATATTTTCTTACCACATTTGCAACAAGCAATGTTTGCTTTTCTTTTATGTTTGAGGTTGTCTTTGCTTCACTACAAAGCATTCTAAAATGTCTTTGAAGCATGTTTGCTTTCAAACTCCTCATTTTCTTGCACGTGTATTTCAATATTTTTTGTTATTTTATGCTATATATATGTATACATACGGTAAATTACGGTCACAACCTGAGATTTGATCAAATTACGAAAAAAATTCTTTGGGTAATTACAGTTATCGCCTTGACTATGAATATTCTTACACATCTATTCTTATTGTGTCAAATTCAATAGAAGCTTCTAGATTCGGTGGAATGTTCTCTAATTTGTACTCGATATGTGCAAAAATGCAGTTTATGATACACCACAATCTGATATTTACAAGTCGAACAACACATCTTATGTGGAGCTCAAATGGGGTAAAACGGGTACAAACTGAAGAATATTCCACTAAATTTGACACCGCAAGAATAGGCGTGGAACAAGATTCGTAGTTGAGGGAGCGGTTGTAATTATACAAACAAGAAGGGTTTTTTCGTAATTTGAAGAGGGAGCTAAAGAAAATTGAAAATGAAGATAACAAGAAAGAAGGTAGAGAAGAAAAGAGTACACTACATTAGTTATGACAGTGCTAAATTTTTTGGTGCAGCTGCAAATTGCAAATGGTGGACCATCTTCTGTGCAACTTTATTACAAGTTATATAGATTCAGTAATAAAACAAATTTACAATGATTATCAACAAAGAAATTCTTTTGATTCCTTATGTACCCCAATTTAATCAGTAATTTTTTTCAAAAAAATAAAAATAAAATTGTTAATTTTTCAAAATTATTTACTCAAAATTATTGAAGAAAATTATGTTTTTTTTTTTTCCTTTTAAGAATATCTTAGTAAACAGAAAATTATGATTTAATGAGTTTAATTTTAATTTAGCTACAAGTAAACATTAAGGGGGTCTTTGTAATATTTTAAAAATATGAGGGTCTGTATGTAATTAATTAGACTTAACATCATGGAAGAACAATATAATTTTCCCAATATATAGGTAAAATGGGTTACGTGTTGGTTAATACATTTTGATATATATATTTTTTTAATATATTTTTCTTCAGGCAGTAAAAACTAAAAAGAATTTCACTCGGGTTTTGATATTACGGTTCAACCGGTCAAACCGAATCGGACTAGGCAATATTCACGGTTTACCCGGTTCAACCGGCCGGTCCGGTACGAGTTTCGAAAGAGTAAAAAATATTGATTTAATTATTTGAAAATTATGTGATTAATGATTATCCATTAGGTTCATATTATTTTGAAATCTATTATAAATGCACTAGATATTACAAAATGATGATAATCAAGATTTGCATGATTTCTTTGTCCCCATTATGGGCCTGACGTCATGATCAATTCCACGTGATGTCATTTTCATGCTAATTAGATTAAAATTTTCACAATTAGATTACTGTGGGAATATCTAAATCAGAATGATTATTAATTTATTATCAATCATTGTCAATTTCATTTAGATATTGATTTATTACTATAAATCCTAAAAACCTTAATAATTAATAGCCTTTTTTCCTATATCAAAACCTATATACACTTCTCGAAATTATAAATTTTATGATCATTTAAGAAAAAAAGATAAGATCAAATTGCCACCATAATGCATCGTGACCATCCTAGAAAAGCATTCTTCAATTAATAAACGAATATATTATAGGTCAAATTTATGTTACACAGAATTGAGTAAAGGGGAAAAAAAGTGTAAATTACGGCTACTCCCCTAAGCTATGTCAAAATAACTTTAAAGCTCTTGTAGAATCGGTAATTACAGTTACCCCATGAAACATTTCTAGAAAGTCTAACGGTTCTATACATTAGATACATTATTTCAACAAAGTTCTAACAGACCATTAGTTTCAGAAAGAGGTAGTAACAACATACAGCTATGGAGTGACATGGCTCCCCCACTATTTCTTAAAACCCCTCTTGTTTGCATAATTATAAACCACCCCCTCAGCTATGTATTGTTTTACACGTCCACCTTTAAAATGTAAAATTTACCTAGAGGTGTTAATCCGATTGGTAAACCGATCGAATCGAACCGAACTAAAATTCGTACATCCCGATTACCGAACCATTAATTCGTGTGGTATTCAATTTTATTTTATATTTATATATTTATATACGCAATATTAGTATTTAAACTAAAATTAATTAAATTAAATAAAAAAAATCAAAAATTTTAAATATTTTTGATAAAATCTAGTTAATTCGGTTATTTATCGAACCACACGCTAAACAGTATGAAATGTTGGCGTACCCTAATTTCTGTATAATTTTACCGAATGAACACTCCTAAATTTATCAACTGGATGAATTTTTGTGTACGATAATACATAGTTGAGGGAAGTACTTATAATTATACAAACATGAGTCGTGTTTTTGTAATTTAACTTTACCTCAGGCGTGCTCGTAATTTGCCCTAATAAATATAATAAAAGTTGATGTAACAATTATCATGTGGTTTCAAGCACTACTTTGTGTTAGCAGCAGAAAGGTATGGAGGCCCCTTATATAAAAATAAAATAAATTAGGGTTCTCTTTTTTAGGGTAGGGTTATGGGGCAATTGTGTTTCCCACTCTCATATCCACTTTATTTTACCCATTATTATAATTAATTACCACCATTAAATTCAATAAATAAATACTATTTATTTATTTAATATTATTCTTACAGATATATTCTTTTCAGACAATCCCACTCACAAATCTTGATCATCTGCATACAAAGGAATTAGAGAACTGTTTTGAAGGAATAATTGGCCCATAAGTTGTCACTCTCACCACCCAACCCAACCCACTTAATTCAGACTATTTAATTTCCCTTATTTAATTTTCTCACTGGAATACATTAACTTTCTGTAAAGTTTTTGCTGGCCTGAAAGATCAGATTCCCAGGTGGCAATTTTTTTTTTAATTTCAAAAACATATTTTTTTTTTTTATAAATTTAATAAATATTTATTACAATTTAGAGAAAAGGGTGGAATAAAATCTTGTCTCAAAATATGTGTTGGTGACATGAAATGTTGTGGATGGCATGTGAGAGAGAAAATGTGTAGTGAAATTTTATATTCTTGCTTTTGATGAATTATTATATTATAAATTTTTATTGGTACAAATTCCACTTTTGTGATATAAGTGGGGAATAAAGGCTGCAATGCTTGTGCTTTGATGTTTTTAGTAGTATATATTTTTTATTTAAAAAAAAAAATTCATAGCTAATCATATAGGTACATTGGATAAATCTATACTCTCGTATAATAGCTTGCAGACCATTTGAGAGACATAAATCATAATAATTTGTTCCAACCGTTAGGTCATTCGTCGTGGGATATGTATTTTTTATTTTATAGAATATAATAAAGAATGTAAAGCAAAGGGAAATTGTGAGTGATATTTATTTATATATATATATATATATATATATATATATATATATATATATATATATATATTGATTCAGATTCTTGATTATTAAATTATTGCATCAAAAGTGTAAATAATTATCATATATCCTCTTGCATATTAGAGAGGATAAACACATTGGGAAATTAAATAAATGAGATATGGCTGGTTATGCTTTAGAGACGAAGATAAGATTCAAATTGGATTTGAAACAAATATTATTATTCTTCGGGCAAAATACGACCAACCTATAAGAGAGATAAGGTCAAATTACGAAAAATCCTTATCTATTTGGATAATTACAACTACCCTTTCAGCTATGTATTTTCTTACGAAAACCCCCCTCAAGTTGGTAAATTTAACACTTTAAAGATGGACGTGTAATATAATACATAGTTAAAGTGGATGATTGTAATTATAAAAACAAGAGGGATTTTTTTCATAATTTAACCTTACCTTAGGGGGTTGGCCGTAATTTGCCGACACAAGATAAGGCACTAATTGTAGGTGATGATATATAGTAGGCAAAGGTAAAATGCGACACAAGCACGCGCATAATTATTTTGAATGAAAGTCGTTAGATTCCCCTAAAGCGATTTTTGTTGGCTATAATTATAATTCATCAAAATATTTCTATACCAAAAATAAAATAAAATAAAATAAAATAAAAAAGAATCATGAAAATGTGACTGAAATGCACTTGTTGGATAAAAGGCCCTTTCAACTTGTTGTCTACTTTGAGACTCCAAGATTTTGATGGTTTAACTAATGTTTTTTCCATGTGTCATGTGTGTGTGTATACATATATTGATAAAAGCTTGATTTCGATTGATTTATAATTTTTGGGCCAAGTATAATTAAATAGATCTTTTGAAAACGGAAAAAAAAAAAAAAAAAGAAGAAAAAAAACACGATTTTGTAGATGCTAGACCTGATGAAATGCATCGGGTGACGTTGAACATTTGATCTACACATAATAACAACACACCCGTGTGTATATGTGTTTAGTGGATAGTTATTTATATAGATATAACGATTCAAGATCACCCGGTGTGTCACACCGGGCGTAGCATCTCATATACATACATAATAGAGATCTTAAGGATTTGAGATCCTAAAATTTTAATAATTTTTGAAGATCCCAATTAGGTTTATATTATGTTATATCGGGTGAACACACCGGGTAGATCTGTACTGTTCATAAGCACACAAATGCACACGCACCCACATTAGTGCGTGTGTAGACCAACGGTAAATATTTACCTATTGTGACTTTCACTGAGTATAGCATAGAAAACGGTAGGCTTGTCTAATTTTGTCTTTGTGAATATGTAATATGCAATATAATTTTGTTTTTTTAATTCCGATCCGAAAAATTACGATTTTAAGTGAAAACGAGAAGTTGAGGGTGAGGCCCATACGAGAAAGAGAAAAGTGGTGTGTATATTGGTGCTAGCTGTTGCCTTTACTAAAAGCAATTGATTTGATTTTTGGAATCGACCAAAAGAAAGCAAGAAATTAATTACATTTGGTTTGTTAAAAGGGCTTTCACTTTTTTTTTCCATACAATCAAATTCAAAATTAATTAAATATGAAAATATCAATTTCTGGGCAATGTTCAATCTTTAATCTTGAAAGTGTTCAAGGCTTGTTCTTGATTTTGACTTTTTTTTTTCTTTTTCTTGAAAACATATATAACATGTTACAGCATAATAAATTTATCAAAAAAAAAATAATGTTACAGCATAATAAATAAATTCAAAATTTCTGCATGTGAAAATGGGCTAATTAAAACTTATAGCATGTAAAATCAATTTCACAATTAACGACTATTATTAATTGATCCACTCCCAAACAGCCCCTCCCTCTTCAACTTTTCTTCCTTAGATTTTCTACAAAAAATAACCCAAGAATTAACTTCAAGTGCAATGCAAACCCCTACCAATGTAGACAAACACAAACAATAACCCAACTTTGCATAAGAGTACTCCTCCCCCATCACTTCAAACCCTTGGAAACAATTCACAACCCCTAAAATCACGCAACCGTACCCCACGAAGTGGTGGTACGATTTCCAATACTTCCGGAACTTATTCGTTGTTTTAGGTCTGAACAACAGCGCCAGGGTCTGCAGCCATCCCAGGCAGAAAGCTGCAAACCCTAGCTTCCGGTGGGGCCCGTACACCCGGCCGGGGGACATTTCCCCTAGCTTGATTCCAATGCCGAACCCCACCGTACCCAAAACAATCGCGGAGATTTGAACCCCTACGTGCATGTAGAACCATGCGGGCCCCACTGACTGGATCTGGCGCAGGTATCTGGCAGTGATTGCCCCGATCGGGAGCAAGATTCCCCACGAGACTGCATTTATTACACCGTGTGCGATTTTGAGTGGCTGGATTATGTTTGTGTGGGACCCGTCGGTCGCCCCGGACAGGACGTCTATCGTGGCGATCGAGGAGAGATCGTCCGTTCCAGTTGGATGGATGGTCGGGGAGTAGCCCTGGACGTATAGCCCGCGGTTCCAGACGAAGTGGATCTTGGTTTTGTTCGTTACGAGGTTTACGGTGGCGTGTATCTGGATGGTGGCCCCGCTGTGTATGGTGGCCATGCGGCCACCGTACAGAGCGGCTGACGAGGCGGTGGCGTGGAGGTCGAGCGGACGGGAGAGGAGCGGGCCCCGTTGGAGCTTGACGTTAGGGTCCAAGATGTAGGGGAGTAGGACTATTTGACCCGTATTTGGATCCGGGAAAGCGATCAAGGCCCGCGTACCCGTCATCTCGGGTGATGTAGGGTTTATGCCCCACCCGACCCACCCAGACGGAGAGATGAAGCTACCGAAGAAGGCTAGGTCTAGGGTTGCATTTTTGGGGTGGAACGACCAAGCTATCGAAGCTTGTTGAGTGAGGAGTGTCATGCATCTTTGGTAGGTTTTCGATGAGGTTGTTGTTATGCAACGAGCCGATAAGGCCCCGTTTGGATGGAAGGATAACAATATTATCGAAATTCGAAAGAAGAGCAAGAGAAGCATGATTGTTGAAACAAGAATAGGAAATAAGTAGGAACTAACATTGGAATTGTGAGAGATGATTTCTTGAACATATATGCTTTCTTGATAATGTTGTGAATTTGTGATCCATTATTAGTCCATGCATTTAATCATGAGGAATACATTTTTTTAAAATAAATTACCTTTGAAGGAAAGCAATGATCTAAATTAAATTAAATTTAATTAGTCAAATCTTTGATCATGTTTAAGGAAAACATCATTTTGTATGGATTAGTACATGCAAATTGCAAGTTGAAAATGAGCTTGTTTTGTAATTTAGCACAAGTGAGACTATACGTTGCTTTGAAGCTAAGTCATATTAAAGTGAACTTTGATTTATTCATGGAAATAGGTCCCCTTGCAATTATTACAAGTTTGGTGCTGTCATAATTATTAGTAGATGACAAGGTCCGACTGGTTCACACTCAGTCGAACACGAATCGAACT